AATAACAAGACCCTACAATCACTAACTATAAATGATACTGTAAAACCTACACAATAACAAGACCCTACAATCACTAACTATAAATGATACTGTAAAACCTACACAATAACAAGACCCTACAATCACTAACTATAAATGAAACTGTAAAACCTACACAATAACAAGATCCTACAATCACTAACTATAAATGAAACTGTAAAACCTACACAATAATAAGACCCTACAATCACTAACTATAAATGAAACTGTAAAATCAACACAATAACAAGACCCTACAATCACTAACTATAAATGAAACTGTAAAACCTACACAATAATAAGACCCTACAATCACTAACTATAAATGAAACTGTAAAACCTACACAATAACAAGACCCTACAACCACTAACTATAAATGAAACTGTAAAACCTACACAATAATAAGACCCTACAATCACTAACTATAAATGAAACTGTAAAACCTACACAATAACAAGATTCTACAACTTAATAACTAATTAGATATGAAACTGTAATACCTACACAATATATTTTGTTGTCTTTCAGCAACACCACAACAGCGGTCGTTCCTGCCAACTCATCTTTCATGCTTTCATCTGAAAGTACATTGAAATTAAGAATCTGTATTCAAACCAAATCAAACTTTCTCATTCTTCAATCTAGGCTGACATTTGTTTTAAAAATGCACTTAAACATACCAAAACTACCACTTTTGTTCCTTATAAAATTAGTACAAAAAATAGATACATTATCACACAAAATTCCTATTATCAGATAACGTGTACTAGTGCCCCAGAAATAAAGTGTTCTTCAAACCGTATCATCTTTCACTGTGAGGCTACATGTATGTATTTAACCCAGTATGTGGACAAGTAACACACATTCATTGTTTCACTACTTTCTAGCTTGAATAAGGAAAATACTAACTCTATATAATACTTATATTGTGTTTTATAGTCTTTGATTAGAAACATTAGACTTCCACAATCTACTGTGTATAATGTAATAAATGGAACAAAACCTTTGAATACCATTGTTTGACATTTTATTATGTTTAGTGTAATAACTGAAACAGCACTTTTGAATACAACATTTTTTATTTATGGGTCTAATTACATGTTATTTGAGTTAGGTTTTTGAATATGAATTTTTACTTGGTTATATTTTTAAAATTAAAAATATCTTTGATATTCACTTCATCTTTACTGTTGTATTTTGGATCTTATACATTTTGAATACCATTGTTTTTTGAATACCATTGTTTCACAATCTACTGTGTTTAGTGTAATAACTGGAACAAAACCTTTGAATACCATTGTTTCACAATCTACTGTGTTTAATGTAATAATGGAACTGTATGTTCCAGTTATTACACTAAACACAATAAAATGTCAAACAATGGTATTCAAAATGTATGTTCCAGTTATTACATTATACACAGTAGATTGTGAAACAATGGTATTCAAAGGTTTTGTTCCATTGATTACACTAAACACAGTAGATTGTGAAACAATGGTATTCATAGGTTTTGTTCCATTGATTACATTAAATACCATAAAAAATAGGAACATGATAACAGCAGATATTCTGTACCTACTAACATGTAATCACTGATGTTAGCAACAACTATAAATACTGTAACTACAAACAAATATCAATATAAACATTACCAACTACATGTACTTTACCTTCCAACATGTCTGCATCAACTGATAAAAATCCCTGCTTTATAGCTTCTTCTATGTTACCTTTTTCTTTACAGAGAAAACAAAATAATTAGATATGTGTGCAGTAAAATCTAATTAATGTGATGACAAAAATGTGAAACATACTAAATACTTTTTAATGGTAGAGTATACTGTAAGTTTTCTTACCAAATGCACATCAAATATTACTAATTTATGCTCTTATACATTAATACACACAACATTATAATCAACTTACAATATAAACAATTAAAATTCGATGATGAGGAACTCACTTTCAGACTAATAATGCTTGGAGATGGCTTGAATGGATAATGAAGAAAAACTTTAATA